CAGATGAAGATAAAGATCTTATAACAATTTTTTGATAGTTCTGACCTTCCCTTTGCAATTCAGTGTGGTAGGATACTGAAACTGACATTATTTGTTAATGGCCAACAAAGATCCCTTGAATCAAGTCAGGTGAACTATCTCTGTCGAGAACTGACAGAACTTCGAAAAAAAGAACCAGGACCTTCCACCAATATTCCTGAAAATGACACTGTGGATGGCAAGGAAGAAAAGCCTGCTTCTTCAGATTCTTCTGGAAAACAGTCTACTCAGGTAGCAAGTATGTCAGCTTTTGATCCTTTTAAAAAGATGAAATCAATAATAATGTTACGTTGTCATTTGGCTTAACAAATGATCAGGTTTCAGGGCAACCCAGTGCTCCTGCAGAAGACTGTTCAGGGACACCTGACAGCATTGCCTCCTCCTCCTCAGCAGCAGCAGCTCACCCACCAGGAGTCCAGCCACAGCAACCACCATATACAGAGCTGAGATACAAGCAGGTCAGACTGAAAGTCCTATACCAAGAGTACCAGTAACAAGCCAGCTATGGGACACAGCAGCTGCAGGCTCCATCTCAGCAGCCTCAACAGTACGGTACTCAGTATTCAACAAGCCATAGTTAGCAGACTGGACCCCAACAACCTCAGCGGTTCCAGAAATATGGCCAGCAACCAACTACCCAGGCACCAGCTCCTGCCTTTCTGGTCAGCCCCAACAATTGCCTGCTCAGCCACCACAGCAATACCAAGAGAGCAATTATCCCGCACAAATTTATACTACCCAAACTTCTCAGCCTACTAATTATACTGGACCCCCCACCTCCCAGCCTCTAAACCTGGAATGGCTCCAAGCCAACCTTGGGTCTATCGATCAAGACCAGGTTTTACTTCACATCATCTAAGTACCATGACCTTTCCTCCGAGTAGGCCTAATCCTTATCCTTTCCTAATCCTAATCCCTTTGTCAGGGGCTATGCCCAATCTGGATCTGGTTATCGATAAGGAGGCTCATCTACACCAATTAATGTAGCTGCTAGCTATTGGCCTCCCAAAAGACTCTAGGACTATTTTAATTTGTACTGAAGTTCAGAAATTTTAAAAGCAAAGCATTTTTTATGGCATCTTTGTTGCTGTTAATTGAAAGTATAATTTGCTGAAACACAAAGACCAAAATGAAAGTTTTTTCCTCCCTCCTTAAAAATGTAGCAGCTTCTTACTTATTTTGGAACACTCCTCTTACATGTGTGTAAAGTGACTGACTTTCTAGCTTCCCTTGTCCAGAGGATATTAAAATGCTAGTGTGAGGTTTGGCCATCTTCCTTGGCTTTCTCATATTAAGATGTTGTACTAAAGTAGCCCTTTGAGAATACAACTAGATGTTATGTATAAAATGTAACACTGATAGATTAATAAAGATGGTTGAATTTTAAAAAACTATTTTTGCAGGTCTGACAGGAAAGTGTTATGCTTCCTTGTATTTATATTATTGATTTTATTATTCATATGCTTTAAAAGTCAGGAAAAGCAGATTGTTACTTAATCATTACTCAAGTTTACAAGTGAGATAAAGGATTCCCAAATATTTACATAACCTCTTCCTTGAGCTTCCCCTCATTTACTCCAAAGTGAAGAATTTAACACTGATGAACAACAATCTCAGTGTACGTATCATTCCAGAACTAGGTGCCTCATCTGGCTAACTTCTCTCTTTCGCAACTAATCTCATGAGTTTCTTATAACCCAGGAACTACGCTTATACTGACTGGTTGATCATTCCAAGCTACCAGTAACCATGTGAAATGTCCAAAACAAATCCTCACTCCTGCAAACACGTTCCAAGACTGTCCCTATAGTGAATCCAGTTCTAGGGCCTTTTCAGCACTTCAAATCCAATCTAGGGCAAGTGAGGGAAACGAACTTATATAAGACAGGATCCAACATGAGAATTTGAAAAGCCTAACACTAATTACTCATCTTACTACCTCTTCACTTGCCATCCTCCCACACTTTATCCAAAGCTGACCCTTAACTCATACCATTCTCCAGCACCTCTGATTTCTTTCTGGACTCTCCCAGCCTGATCTCTCTAGCTACCATGCTATTTTTTTTACTACCTTTCAATCCAATTCACAAATCAGAGAGGCAGTATGTTATCTCTATTATGTTTCCAAACATTCGTGGCCTAGTTCCCTGGAAGCCAGTCTTCTGTCCAGATTACTTACCAACTAATGGCAATTTAGATACAAAAGTTGTCTCTGAATTTTCTTGACCTCCCCATCATGAGACCACTGACCACTGAATCCATATGAAAGCTCTCTCCTCTGGTTGTCCTCTGTAACTCTCTTCAGTCCCAAATGTCTTCCTTCTTCCTTCTCTACCTTAAGACCCCTAACTATAGGTTTTCTCCAAGTCTCAGACTTAAGATTTTTACTTCTTTCCCTATACTCTAACTCACGTTATCACCAGATCTGACTGCTTCCTAAACAGTAATGTGTTCCCACTTCGTATTAGACATTTCTCCCTGCATTCATTCCCTAAGCATTCACCAAGTACCCGTTATATGCTATTAAGTGAGTTAAATGTTGAGGATATAGAGATCAATAAGGCCTACAACGATCACCTCTGCCTTCATGGATCAAAGACAAGTAAACAAAAATGTTTAAAACAATGTGATCAATGTGGTAATTCTCACACAGATGTACAGAGAAAAGAAAAAAACACATCAAAATGACATATGGTAACAATGGTTTCCTATACGGAGCTTATACACAATTATTTGCACACATTATTTCAATTAAGTCTCATAACAATACTAGAAGATATAAAATAAAAGGTAAAACTCTTTAAATAATTTAATACCAGATCATACAACTAGTAAGTGACTAATTCAGGAATTGAGGTTAAATGTGTCTGTGCCAAAACTTATGTTTTTTCTCCTATAATCAGTGAAAAGAAATCTACACCTGGTAAGTCAGGAGAGAGGTCTGTTAAGGACATCTATTTAAGATCAATAAGTATTTCCAGTGAGTGTTCAAAGGCATAGTCAAGAAGAGAACACTCAGGAAAATGACTAGCACAGGACAGAACTTACAACTTGCATGTCCCCAAAACCCTCAAACTCAATCTAAAACAAGCTCAGCATCTTCTTCAAAGAAGTACTGTACTGTATTTCATTACTAAGACACACTTGGTGATCAATTTTTAAAATTTCTGAAATTGCGATGTAGACATCACAGTGTGTCACAGTTAATTGGAGTATTGTTTCTTTCCTTAGTGGAACATAAGATAATGGTGCCTGAGAATTTCTGACTTCTTAGATGTGATAACAAATGGTAACTCTCTCCTAAATTTAATTCCCAAATTTAAATCACTTGAATCACCAAGTTCTATTTTTTTCCATAATAGCCATTCTAATCATCCATTCTTTTCAATTTCCCTGCCACCAATCTGGTTTAAGGTAGTATCAATTGTGCACAGATTAAATACCCTCCTCACTGGTCTCCCTGAATCAGTTTCCCCCTACCTATTCTAAATCCTCAAATACAGCACTATGAATCAGTTTTTCAAAACCACCACTGTATGCATACCACTCTTCCTCTCTCAAATTGGTTCCACACTGCATATAAGGGAGATTCCAATCTAGTTTCAAAGACTTCCATAAACTAGCCTAAGCTGACCTTCAAACAGTTTCTCTTCTACTAATCAATAAAAGCCTACTCTAATCAAGCTCTTCTATTTATGGTCTCTTCAAATACTCTAACCTCTGTCTATTAACTTCATGATTCTTTCCATCTGAAATTCACCCAACTCTTACACTATTTGAATCAAATGTCAAGGCTCAACTCAAGCTTCATAACCTCCATGAAATCTCCCTCAATCATTCCAAGCCATTTCTTCTTCTGAAGTTCTATAACATGTACTCCCTTGAATATTGTTGTATTTAACTTTTCATAGGAGTTTATGTCTTATTTCCACAATGAAATTAAAAGGATCAAAAGCAGAGACTATATGTAACAATTATGCAGCATAGTTTAGCAGTTACTTACACAGCTTCTGGGGTCAAAGTACATAGGTTTGACTCTCATCTCTGCCATCTTTCTGTGTGACCTTGAGCAGTTACTTAATTTCTCTGTTTCAGTTTGTAAAATGGAGGCAATGACAGTATATACCTCAAAGAGTTGTGAGAATTAAATGGTCATGTAGGACCTGTTCTTGATACATACTATGCACTCTGTAAGTGTTAACTGCTATGAATTTGTAAATAAGAAAAATTACCACTTAAGTGGTGGTAAGTATTGGAAATACTACATAAGTGTTAGCTTTATGCAGACAAAAGCTATTACACAAATGTCATACAGACATTCTGAATATTAAGTATGGTGCAGACATACTCAGAGGTAGAATCCCCTAGCTCTGGAAATCCATATTTATAAGCCAGACTCAAAAAATAGCCGAGCATGGTGGCAGGCACCTGTAATGCCAGCTACTTGGGAGGCTGAGGCAGGAGAATTGCTTGAACCTGGAGGCAAGGATTGCAGTGAGCCAAGATTGCGCCATTGCACTCCAGCCTGGGTAACAAGGGTGAAATTCCGTCTCAAAAAAAAAAATAAAAAAAGAATCTCCATGTTCATGGTACCCAAAATAATAAGTACGCGTCACGTACTCAGTATTTACCTGATGGAAGAAGGAAGAAAAGGTCTTAACATGAGAAGCAGCTTTTTAGGAAAGTGTCTATTTCTGACATTCTGGGGGAGCAGTTGAGAAATCTGTCCAGAAATGGAAAGAAATATCTATTTTAGGGTCTGTAAAGGCTAATCAATCTCAGGAGGAATTGACAGGAAAATGACAGGAAAAGACATTCCACAGGAAGCAAAGCTAGCTGTTTATAAATGTACATATTTCATGTACACCTGCATTATACAGTTCTGTAGTAGCTTTGTAGTTGTGAACAGCATAACAGGCACATAAAGTTTCTTGGTGAGTTTAGGATAGATAGGTACTTACTGAGCATGCCTCTGTAATTGAGGTCCATATCCCGGCTCTCCGATCGCACTTTAATGGCATCCAGAATGGCATCAGGAGACAACAGTCCCGAAGGCCTCACAACATTCAGAAGTTCAGTGAGGCTCATGAGAGGTAAACGCACAGCCTGCATGATTTCAGCATGATTCTCCTTTGAATTATGCTTACACCAGTTTAGTAGGGCTAGGAAAATATCTTTTTCGGGAGCTGCAAATGAATCTCTTAACACGATGTTTAAAAGTGCTGTCTGAAAAGGATAGAAAGGTAAAATTCCAGTCATATGAAGTTCAACCATTGCATGATCAATCAGTAAAAGCTTACAGAACAAGTATAACTTATATTTAGCCAATTAACTCTTTTTGACCCTCTTCTTCCCTTATGCTTTGTGCCACATATTCTCCTGTACATTATGGCTGTGTAAATAACAAGGATAGTGGCACCTTTCTTTTATGCTCAGGTATCTTGTACCACTGCAACAAACAACTAGTCTTTCCAAACACATCTGCATCCATCTTTTTTAAAACAGCAAAAAGAAAAATGCCAAAGTGAAAAGCTGTCAATACATACAGATTCTTCAAGAAAGTATACATTGTTAAGTTAGAAGGATACATCTGGCATTTAAAATTCAAAGTGTTTTGTTTTACAGTATTACTTTACTACCATATTTTTGGCTTTCAGATCTCCAACCTGACCTCCAGCAACAATGGTGCAACCCTCAAAGATCACTGTCTTTAAAAGCCAAGTAGAAAAAAAGAAATAGGATCACACAAATCTTAATTTACACTCAAATCAAGATATGTAGCTTTTCAATAGGTTTTCTCATTAGAAATATCCAGGTTCTAGAAGGAACACAACAAGAGAAATGGAGAGATAATCACTACCCAGAGTTCAAAGGAAGATTTGAGCAAAACAGTTTTACTCTAGCTATAATACTGAATTTTAAGCCAGCAAAAAAAGCAGTGACTTAAAGACCTCTTTTATGAATTTGCCTGCTTGCTCTAAGGAAGTATTAGTCACACTCTCTGTCAGAGAAAAACAAAACCAAAAGGTAGTATGCAATACCACAAAAGATCCTATTTGGTTGTCACTACACTGAAAACAACTACTCAGCAGCACAGTCTCTTTTACACATAAAACTTACCAGAAGAACCTTAAAGAAAACACAAACAACCAGCCCCTCTCTTTTATGATCTAGAGTCCCAGTAGCTGGAGGCAAGTGGCTAGACCAGATAACCTGTTTGATACCAATGATTTTTATTTTTTTATTCTTAATCCATTGCTATACTTTTGCTTTACAAGTATAAATAAAACAATGCATGCCTATAAATTACTTGTAGACAAATGACACACACCTTAGAAAGGGAGAGGAAACCTTCACTTGAGAGCACCTCCTGAGCATTCCTGTCCATAAACATGCAGCACATACAAGTTAACTTGGGAAGTGAGTACAGACTGGCAACATCAAAAGTCATACAGACATTCTGAATGTTAAGTATGGTGCAGAGATACTCGGAAGTAGAATCCTCTAGCTCTGGAAATCCATATTTATGAGCCAGGCTTAAAAAGTCCAGCAGCACCTCCTCCTTCTCATCAGTCAGCGTTGCCCGCCCTGTGTAGATATACTTGAGTAGCATTGTGAATGCTTCTGCAGTGGTGTCTTGGAGAGGAATTTCTGCTTCAGGCTGAGACTCTCGCATTCCGCCATACAATAATGCTCTGCACATCAGGGAAGAAATATAGGAAGAAACCTTCAAATAGGATTTGCTACAAAATATTGGAAATAACAGTTATCAACATTATGCAAATATAAATTTGTTTAATGACACAAAGATCCAAATGAAAAAAATGCAAAGTAATCATATAAAATGGTTCTTTAAAGGAAGCAAGAGGAATGATTTCAAAACTACTGAATTAATTCTATAAACCACTGAAATATTCTGAAATTTCTTCTGAGATATTCTGAAAGCTCAAGATATGTGATAGGTATTAAATAGAAAGATGAGTGTGATCTTTTGAGAGGCACAATGAAATTGATAAAAAGATGTTAAAGGTCAATAAGGCAATTTAAAAAGTAAAACTCTATAGGAAAAGATATAACCAGATAAAGACGAACACTAATATGATGCCATTCTCCCCTGTAAGACTGGCAGAAATTAAAAGGCTTGTTAATATCAGTGCTGCGAAAGCAATGGAAAAACAGGTTGAATAGGTTGTTTGGTGCACTGCTTTGAGAGTACAAATATGCAGCCCTTTATGGAAAGAAATTTAGTAGCATATAGTCAAGCCTAAAATGTGCATACCCTTCAACTCAGTAATCTCTCTATTAGGACTCATTTCTAGAGAAATAATACAGTAAAGAAAAATGTGTAAGAATGCACACTGAAACAACTGGAAGAAATCTAAATGTCCATCAACAGTAACATGGTTAAAAAAAAAAACTGTGATATACATTCTCTGCAGCCTTTAGAAAGATCAAGGGAGATCAACAGGTACTGTTTTGAAAAGATGTCCAGGATATGGTAGTTGAGTAAGTAAAATTGCAGATCCATATGCACTGCATGAAAAAAGTATATAACCACATATTTACATGTTTATGCATATGTGTCTATATAGATATTTCTTTAAATCAAATCAGAGGAAATCAGATTGGATTTAAAGATTTTTAAAAAATCAGAGGAAATTCATATTAAACTGTTAACATCACTTATCTCTGGGACATGGTATTAGACGGCGGGGAGAAAAAGACTTTCATTTGTTACTTTATAAATTAAAAATGAAATTACTGATAGGGTTAGGGTGATTTTTTATTTTTTTCCTTTCAGATTAAACAAAAAGCCCTACATTATTGCTTATCTAAAAAAAATGAAAACTAGACAATTCAGTTAGGTAATGAATTTGAATTTCTACCTCTATTATCGCTTCTCGGTCTTTTGGCTGAGATCAAGTGTTGAATTTCTACCTCTATTAATCAAGCAGTAATAATATGAAGCAATTAAACTTCCAACCTATCAGGAAAGAAAGAAAGGAACAGGATAAGGGAGAAGTGCAGAAAAGGGAGAGAAGAATAAAGAATGAGAAAGAAAAGATGCAAAAGTGATGGGAAAAGACTGGAACCAAGAAAGAGATTCTCTCTGTTCCTAAAATTCTCAGAGTAGGACTAGCATTTCAGGGTTACCTATCTGGAACTTGTCCCACACTACCCAAGGACGTAGCATTCTTGCTTGCCCCAGGAAAACGGCTGAAACCATCCAGCAAAGATTCATTAATATTCTGAGCACACCTCTTCACTGGGTTATACGCTGCCTAAAAATACCCTTGAAGGTTTCCATTAATCCAGAGAGCACCCAACCATTATCCTAAAATTACCAAATTAAATAACTTCTCCTTTTTGGGGAGACCTCAACAAGACTTAACTCCAGTCCTGTATGATCTGTGGTATTTATCTGGATTCTCAATGCTTTAAAAGTGGTTTTGATGAGGCTCCCTGGGAACAATAAATATGAACCCTCAAGACAAGCACAGAGGTTAGATGTTTACTATGAAAAGTTTCCTCTTATACAGTTCCTTATCTGGGGATTGATAGGCTATTATGACAGTACTTCCGCATCTTCTGACAGCTGACAGTTCATATCCTTTGCATATGAATACTGTCAGCATTGAGAATCTAAGTAAGGCAGCATTGAGCTTAGCTCTAAGGTAGACTTAGAGGTAGAGCTTAGCTCTAAGGTAGTCTAAGGTAGACTCTGAGCTTAGCTTAGTGAGCCAGCAAATATTACAAAGGTTAAATATCTACAAAGACATCAAGAACAAGGTCAGTAAGTGGGGGTAGAATATTCCATTCACTCAATACGATCTTCAACTTTCTAGAAGTATTTGAGTTTCTTTTAAGATATACTAATCACCTAAACGATACCCACACAGAGTTGTTTCAAATTATTTTTGAAAGAGGGCAAAGTATACAGTATTAATAAATAATAAACACAGGCTGAGAAGTTCTGACTTAATAAAAAGTGGACTCTTATAAAACACTTTAATAGTAATGACTGGACTAAACATTTTAAAAGGGAAATAAACACAAAAGGAAAAGTGTGCAGAGGACAGAGGCTAGTAAGAAATAATGGCTGGACCAAGGTCAGATGCCTTGGTAGAGTTGACCACTAGGAAGAAGAGGAGAGTGTTAGAAGTTTTAACAGACTCCTCATTTTTCTAAGCTCCTGGTTTCACCTACAGTGGCATTTTACATGTATAAGATAAGAAGTTTATGAAAAACCATAGAAGCTCTAGCTATAGAGTAAATATTTCCAGGAGACACACTTTACCACAACACGTCTGACTCTAGGTGTTGCTGTCTCTCTTAATTCTGATTATAAAAGCCAGACTGCGGTTATCACTAGAAGGTAACTGAAATGTTCTCTAAGCCAATGGTATCTCCATTTCAGGTACCAGGTTTCCCAGATATAACACTGTGAACCATCTTTGTCCTTACAAATAGAAAAAGATCCATTATCAAGCATAAATTATAACTCAGCAATTCAGTGATGACTCACTTTTGACAAATATTAGGTAAAATGTAGAGTAGTTAAAGATCAGCTTAAGATTTATAACCCTGGAAATTAGGACTCAAGTAACAAACAATAACTGCATATAAGTATACCTCTTAGACCTGCTGGGTTACTAACAGGTCCTAGACCTCAGCAGTCTCAAACCAAGCGGGTATATGTGCCCATTAGCAGGTCCAGGGGTCAGTCTACCTATACAAAAGGAAGCTTAAGTCCCATTAGCCATCTACTGTGAGGAGAAGGTGAGGACAACAAAGACTCAGCCTGAGAAACATTCTTGAGACCTTGAAAAATGGCTGATTGGGCACCATCCAGGCTGGGAAACCTTCCAACCCTTTAATTTTAAGATGGCTCCTAAAGGAAAAGGCAATTCTCAAAAAAAAAAAACAAAGTCTACAAAGATGAAATCTTTATAGATATTCAATTGAGGGATGCAAAAATTTGTCATCATGCTTGGTTACATATTTTTCACAGAGCAGAAAATACCAGTGTTTTCTACAGGTGAACTGAATTTTCAAAAAAGTATTACACACTTACCGAAAATATTGGCACCTGGCTGCTAAAATCACCCTGTGCGCAGGAAAACGTTTCTTTTCCACAACAAATGTGACGTCGCCATATTCTTCCCCAATCAACAAGGCACCAATATGTTCAGACAAAATGTGCACATGATCAATTTCCCCCACTGCAGTAAAGGGGCGAAGAGGGTGGCTGTTACTCATCTTGTGGAATAGACGATAGTCGTTGATCTATCATATAAAGAATGAATGAGGGTTAGCGGGGGGAGGGGTGTACACTTAGAAAATCACATACCATAAACATAGCTAAGTAAAAATTTAAAGTGCTTAGAAAAATTCACATGAGAGAGAGTTAATCAGTGGTATCTTTATTAACTCATTTATTCTAAGTAGCAATTCGGCCTGCTTCCCTTAAATGTACTCCCTTCATTGTCTTATCACACTAGGAAAGCAAAAATGCCAGGGTCTCCAAACACTAACAGCACTTGGCGCCATCACAGTCTAGAAAACTGAGCCCAAACACAGGTCCCATATTCCTTACAGTACCCCAGGAAAAGAAAAATCAACAATCAGAATAACTTCTCTCTTTTACATATATTGAGTAAGGTTGGGTATACAATTATACCCAATAGAAAAGTCATTCAGGCACAGATCTAGGTCTAAATTACAAACAGAATAGATAAAATAATGAGATTTCAAATAAGAAGTTTTGTTCTGAAACCATCTCAAATATTTTATTTAAAAAAATAACAATCTTCTGGAGTCACAAAAATAACTTGACATTTATTAATGAACATTTGCAGTAGCGTCCTAAGCTTCTCACATTTAACAAAAGAATAACCCCAACATTTTTCTCAAGACTGTAGCTTCTATTCCACACTTGTTGCTCTGATGATCAGGCTGCCAGTGTCTACCAGCACATCATTACATTTTGTCTCATTTACAGGCAACTTCCTTGCTTTTGTATGCAATGCCTTTCTACAAAAGTATCTGAAAATCAAAGGGCTAAAACATTATTAACAGCTTTACATGTAAGAAGGGGTAGAGTATATTCTTAAAAAGCTAAAAATGTTTATATTTTTTAATACCGAATGTACTTGCAGGTACTGTTTAAAAAAAAAAAAAAAAGTTGGCCAGGAGCAGTGGTTTACGCCTGTAATCCCAGCACTCTGGAAGGTTAAGGCGGGTGGATCACAAGGTCAGGAGATCGAGATCATCCTGGCTAACACAGTGAAACTCCATCTCTACTAAAAATACAAAAATGAACTGGGTCTGGTGGCGTGCACCTGTAGTCCCAACTACTTGGGAGGCTGAGGCAGGACAGCCACTTGAACCCGGGAGACAGACGCTGTAGTGAGCAGAGATCACACCACTGCACTCCAGCCTGGCGAGAGTGAGATTCCGCCTCAAAATACAAGTTGGTCTTGCTCTGTTTGCTCTGTTGCCCAGGCTGTAGTGCAGTGGTGCAATCACTGCTCACTGTAACCTTGAACTCCTCAGCTCAAGTGATCCTCCCACTCAGCCCACCAAATAGCTGGGACTAAAAGGTGTGTGCCATCATGGCCAGCTAATTGAAGGTACTGCTTTGATAAGTGTAGTAATGGGCACGTACGTCAGAGCCTTGGCTAGCATTCATATGCCCCAGGTGAAGAGGTGGCTGATAGCTCAGAGGTAGCCAGCTACTCCTCTGCTGCATCCGAGACTAGAGAAATTGAGCCAGATATGTTTCATCCAGTAGACCTCCACATCTTTTTTAACTCTCCACTTGAGCCACAATTAAAGGTTGAACAGCTCCTAATCTTTAATCTTCCATATCCAGTTCCATTATTAGCAAGGTGTCTGCAAAATGGTGTTTTTCACCTGTGACTGCAACAGAAGATCTTCATGGACCAGGTTCCAAATCCGCCTGCTTCAGTTAACCTACTACCATACACCGACCCTCAAAAGAGGGAGCAACAGCAGTGATGCAGAAGAACATGGAAAATGAGCTAGGCAAGAAGACACCTGCCCCAGGTAAGTGGGCAAAATCCTGATTACCTACAGTAGGAACATCAGAGAACTAGCAGTATAATCCCCTAACTGCCAAGGTAAACCCCTCTCCCTCAATTGCAGCCTTCATTTGAAAGCCCTAAAAACAGAATGATCTCTAGTCACTTGTGCATGAAAGACCAAATTCAGCTTAAGACAATCTATTTGAGAGTATGAGCAAGTAATGTGTGACACAATAGTCTTAATGTGTATATACAACAACAGTGTAATACAGGAGTTGGCAAACTTTCTATAAAGGGTCAGATGGTACATAAAGCTTTGCAGGTTATACAGTCTATGTCAAATGATTCAGCTCTATGGTAGGAGCCTAAAGGCAGCCATAGACGATAAGAAAATGAATAAACGATGGCTATGTCCAGTAAAACTATTTCTACAAAAGATCTAGATTAGACTCACAGGTCATAGTTTGCTAACACCTGGTATAACCCGTGATCAAGCACTGACCTCAAGGACTGGCTGTACTTTAGGCAAACAATCAGACTGGGAATTTTGTTTGTTTGTTTTTTGCTGGGTTACCCAACTGATGTTTCTATGATCATTTCCTATGTTGGTCAGGAAATTCAGAAAGCTACTGGTACCTGACTTCAAAAACTCATTCCTCTTCAATACAAACTCTCACATCACTATCCAACATTTCAATGATTGTGCATGACTCTAAAGAAAACACTTTCCCTGTCTGAAAAGGCACAATGTATATACCCAGTAAATATATTCTCTGGTATAATACTTTCTTAATATTTTATCCATGTCATGGCTAATACTCAAATTACTTACTAAATGACTCTTGATGAACAATGATTGTTTTTTGGTTAATCAGCTCAGAAGGGAAATTTATAATTCTTTTTTTTTTTTTTTTGAGACGGAGTTTCGCTCTTGTTACCCAGGCTGGAGTGCAATGGCGCGATCTCGGCTCACCGCAACCTCCGCCTCCTGGGTTCAGGCAATTCTCCTGCCTCAGCCTCCTGAGTAGCTGGGATTACAGGCACGCGCCACCATGCCCAGCTAATTTTTGTATTTTTGATAGAGACGGGGTTTCACCATGTTGACCAGGATGGTCTCGATCTCTTGAATTTGTGATCCACCCGCCTCGGCCTCCCAAAGTGCTGGGATTACAGGCTTGAGCCACCGCGCCCGGCCCGGAAATTTATAATTCTTAAACTGATATATCATAAACAATATTATATATGTATGTATCTACCACAGTAAGTTCTCCAGATCTTTACTTCTCAATATATCTAATTTCATTTTATTTTAATTATGTTTTTCCAAATGGAGACATGAAACTGTTTCGTGTACAGAAAATAGCCACTTAGGATAAAATAAACACAATTTTATTGGCATATAGAATTTTAATTAGACTAGTGATTCTCAATAAGCTTGCCAAACATTGGAATCACATGGGGAGCTTAAAAAAAAAAAAAAAAAAAAAAAAAGATGCTTGAGTCCCACTCCTCAGAGACTCGTATTTAACTAGTCTAGAATGGGGCCGAGGCACTGGAATCACCATTCTGAAGTGCTTCAACTAAGCAACTCAGAAAAATAGCCACTGATTGATTCCTATTGTTGTAGGTTTCCATCTCTTGCTCAGGTGTGCAAGTATACAAAAAAAAAAAAAAAACCCACAGAAAATATTCATTTAGGATATAATTTAATTTGAATCTTATTGCAAAGATGCAAATGGTACTAACAAAGTTATCAATACCACAACTTTATACAGAAAATGAGTATTTTTTTCACCAATGGGATAGTTTATTTACAAAGTGATAGTTTCAGTCTACCTGTATGTATTTTAGAAAGTATGCTTGCTAGGCACAGTAGCCCACGTCTGTAATCCCAGCACTTTGGGAGGCTAAGATATGAAGATTGTTTGATGCCAGGAGTTCAGGACCTCGTCTCTACAAAAAAATTTAAACATTAGCCAGGCATGGTGGCATGAGGCAGTAATCTTAGCTAATTGGGAGGCTGAGTCAGGAGGATTACTTGAGCCCAGGAGTTAAAGCTGCAGTGAGCTATGATTGTACCACTGCACTCCATCCTGGACAACAGGGCAAGACCTTGTCTCAAAAAAGAAAAAGAAAAGAAAGAAAAGAAAAGAAAAGAAAACCAAATTAAAGTTAAATGGATTAGGAAATAAAGAGGCAAAATAATCAATATTTGCAGATAATGACTGCTGACATGAAAAATCCATGAGAATCAACTGAAAAGAGTATTAGAGAAAATAAGAGCGGTTCACCAAAGTGACCACATAAAATAATTATATGAAAATATATAGCATTCTTCCATGCCCAAACCAACCAGCCAGAAAATATTAGTGAAAAGATCTGCAATTTGTAACTGTAAAACACATGTAACACATAGCAATAAACTCATAGGACATGTAAGGAAATCATAAAACTCTACTGAAAGATTTAAGAAAAATACAGAGACATAAATTGTTTGGGGACAGAATGATCCAATATGATAAAGAGATCCATATTTTCAACTTACCATGGATTTATCAGGATGTAACCAAATTATAAGTCTAGGGGCATCATTTATATAAATGTAGCATTTCAATTGAATGGTAGAAAATATGAATTTTTTCAATAAAAGGTATTGGCTAGCCATTTGGAAAAAAGTAAGCTGAATATTCACATTAAAGTACAAAATGAAATATATATGGATGTCAGCTTCAGCACTTTCTGTAATAGCAAAAAAAAAAAAAAAAAAAACTGGAAAAAAAACCCTGAAGGCTCATTTAAAGAGAATTGATTAAACAAATAATGGTACATATATAATGAAATATTATATATTTAAAAAGAATAAAGTTAGATACTAATGAACTGAAAAAATCTTAAGTATGTGCATTTACATGCAAAAGACAAAACAATAGTAAAATATTTTGTTTAAAAAAAACACTGAAAAAGGAAGAATATACATCAAATTATTAACTAAGGGTTAACTAGATTGGGGCTGTGGGAAAATTTTACATAGTGTGCTACATACTTCTGTAATGTTTACAAATTTTAAAGTGTTTATTTGTAGTAAAACTATAAACAAATATTTCAGTAAGTTTGGCCACTAAAATTACAATATAAATTGGTTTGTGTATGAGATAACAAGTGTTTGGATTTGCCACAACCAATAGAACCTGATTTAGTGACTAAGACAGAAAGCAAACAGAGGGACTATATATTATCTGC